ACGTAATTGCACGGTAACCTTTGCCGCTGTGTGCGAGGGAAGCGTGGTAAGCTATTAGATTGTAATTCGGAGTGTCAGCTCCGGCTCCCCACACCACCTCACCAGGGCTGCTGCTGCTCAGCAGGCCATGGGGAGGCCTCCGTGGGGCCTCTTGGCCCCCAGATCCAGTTGGGGGTCCTGCTCGGTAGAGCCCTTTGCTAGGAAAGGACCATCAGGAGATGAAGGCCAGGTGTCTGGAACCCCAGCACCTCACCTGAAGGAGTGGAAAGACACAGATGCCTTCCTCTGGCTTTCTGATGGAGTGAGTGGGTCCAGGATGGGGCCCCACAGAGTTATAATGCATAGTGCTCCATCTTCTGAATCTGAGATCTCAATTCTCTACTCCTCCATCTGGCCTGGTTGGCCCAATATCTACTCTATGCTGACAGATATTTAGGAAGAACCCCCTTTGCTACTTCACTTGACAACACTAGCCCCTTAATCTTGATAATGCCTCTGAGGTAGACACTGGATTTTCTCAGAGATACTGAGACTCACAAAGGCTAGCTGAGTTTTCAAAGGCGACAAACCATAATAAAGGCTAACACTTCCATAGCTCTTCCTAACTGGTGGCACTGTTCCCTAGGTATTGAATTATTTAATCGTCACCACTGTACTATGAAGGATGTACTATTATAAACTCCATTAACAGGTGGCAAACTAGAGAGAAGTTAAATGACTTTCCAAAGATCACACAGCATTAAGTAGCAGAGATGGAATTCAAATCTGGTTGCCCACTCTTAGCCACTGTGAAAGCCAGACTTTTATTTATCCATCCATCCAACCACCTGCCCCTCCATGAATCCATTCATCCATCCGTCCATCCATACATCCATCTAACCACCCCCCATCCCCACACATTCATCCATGTACCGCCCCCGCATCTATCTACCCACCCACCCACCCTCCATCCATTTAACACATGTATCTTAACCTACTATGCACCAGGAACTAAGCTAAAGGTACAAAAATATAAAACATGCTCCCTGTCCTTGAGTTCATAGTCCCTGGAGTGCATGGCCGCCCATCTTAATTGACACCTCACACATTCCATGAAGGCTTTGGGGGCAGTGGGAAGAAGTTGCAGTGTCCTTCAGATGGGGCAGAGGTTGTAGTTCTAAGGCTTCTAGGTATGTTGATGGAGCTGCTCTAGTGGGTAGCACATGATTCTCATGGCCTGGGTGCTTATGTGCTTCCCTTGTTAGAATGAAGTTGCTCTTTAATAAATAAGCATCATCATGGTGGCCACAATGGGGTGACTGAAAGGGGATCACAGCCAAGTCTGGACCTAGTTCCTCTGGCTATGGCTCTAATCTGGCTGTAATGGGGCCCAGGGGGAGTCTCAGTCAACAATCACCACCCTCCCCTGTTGCCCAGGGTGCTCAGGAATCCACACCAGCCTTCACCTGTTCTAGGCTGGATTTCCACTCAAAACCAATGTGAAATATCTTGCATCGAAGGGGTGGAAAGACACAGGTGCTGAAGAGCTTCCAGTCCACTGGGCCCTTCACCATTGCCCCCTCCAGTCCTCACAATGGTCCTGTCTTCCTGCTTTAAAGTCAGGGAAAGTGAAGCTCAGAGAACAACAGGACCAAGTTGTCCAGATGAGAAGCAGCTGAGCTGCCCTGCAAACCTGTCACCTAATTTTCTTCCCCACCACTTGCATGTGAAACGTCCCTCCCCTATTGCCCCAGGAAACAGGCCTCCTCCCCACCACAGCTGGGGGACCACTGCATCCATGCTGACCTGAGCCATCTTGGTCAAAGGCCTTGGTCAAAACTCCATCACCTGGACCCCCATAGCAGGGAGAAACTGAGCCATGGGGCGCCAAGTTGTAAGTCCCAGTGCATCCTTTGCCTCGTTTGAGCCTGATGATAACCCTGGAGTAACTGCTGTGGTACAGGAGAGGAGACTGAGCCTCTGCCCCTGATCCTACCCTTTCCTACCCCTGATCCCACCCTCTGCCCCCTTTCCTACCCTTTCAGTAATTCTTCACTATGTCAAGATAAAAGGTTTAATCATCTGATATTGTGAGCCTGATGTTGGGTAGTATACTGTAGTAAACAAGGCTAGAATACCATGTTTAATTGACGTGTGTTTAGAGGAGAACAGTGTGGGTCTCTGAGGGGCTCACAGGGAGCTGCATGAGTGGAAGATGGGCAAGCCCTGGGCTCAGGCTTTGGGGTTGAGCTGTCCTCACTTCCCTTTGATAAAAAATTCCTCACCTGGTCTCCTGGCTGCTGAGGTGCTGCAGAGAAAGGGACCCACAGGTTGCTAACCTTCTGCCTCTGAGTGAGCATGATTTGATGATGCAGTTGCTGAAGTGCATACTCTTTTTCTTTTTTTTTATAGTTTACTGTTGATTTTTGCCCAATCAAAGGGAAAAATTGTGTTTGGTAAATCTGACCACACAGAAAGGTAATTCTGGAAACTGAGAAGCCAGAAGTCTCCCACTTTCAGGTTAATGAGTGTTATAAGTGTGGCCAGGTGATGGGGGACACTGACCTTGCTCTATACCTCAGTCTCCCCCTATGCAAAGTAGTCAATCATTCAGTCTCATCTCCTTGGAAAATGGGTTTTAGGACAAAGTACAAGGGTTGCTGATGGCAGAGGTCCCTGCAGCAGTGTAGCCCCAAAAAGTTAGGGATGTGGATTCCTTGTGAGCCAGAACCAGCAGTGTTCAAGGACCATGAGGATTCCAGCGCTCCAGCTTCCCTGGGAACGCCTGGCAGGTTGCCATGGTTACCTCCAGCAAGGCATGGGCATCGCTTCCTCTTCTCCTGAGTCTTTGCTTTCTTTCTTCTCTCCATCCCTTTTAACTTCTACTACCTGTCTGCTTCCTCATTTTATCTTCATGGGAAGAACAATAAAGGTCAACCTAGACCTTGAAAGTTCCCTCCTAAATTTGACTCCTGTGGCTCTTTGTAGAGGGAGAGCGGAGAGTTGAGTTTGGTCTGGGCTGTGGACCAGATGATGTAGGAGAGACCAGAAGTAATCAAAGGCATGAAGCAGACATCTGCTCTGCACATGGCTGCGGGGCCTGCCCACACTCTCCCCCTGTCCATCCTGACTGCCTGGGAGGAAGAAGGGGAGAAAAAAGGGGAGAGGTCAGAGAGAGCTTTCAATGCTCAGCACATGGCCTTCCCCAGGTGGACGATGGCTGCCAGCCCCCTCCGTGGAAGAGAGCGGAGGAGCCCCAGGCCCTGGAGAGCTCAATTGGCCACTTTCACACAGCTGCGCTGGCAAGAGCCTGCCTGCTGTTCTCCAGATTTCTCTTGCTTTGGCCGGATTGAAGCCTTTAAAAAAGTGACACCTTGTATTTTATTTCACTCCTTTTTCTGAAAGATCCAAAGACATTTACAGGCATGAGCGCAATAGGCTTTATGGTAGCCCATCAAAAAGCAGGGATTGTTTCCTTCGTCTTTATAGAGCAGAAAATAAAAGCACAGGAAGACGGAGTAACTCTTCTGAGGCCACACAGTGCTTCCAAGAAAGGGTGGAAAATCCAGTAAGTTCCTGGCTCCTGGGAGAGGCCTGAGCCAAACCAAGGCTGTTTGTGGAGAGTGCCGGAGGCTCCTTGCAAGTCACTGTGCAGGCCTCTGCACCAGTGTTGCATGGGTACCCCTCATTATATTGGGGATCTGGAGGCCTCATGGGAAAAAAAGGGGAGACTGAGCAGAAATGCTGTGGGGATCTGGCCAAGAAGCTCTCCCTACTGGCTCCTGACCCCTGAGGTTGTGCTTCCTGGAGCCAAAGAGTTGGGTTGGTGTGTCCCATAGGATATTTCAAGAGTATCTTTAAGGAAGGCTGACAGGTGTTATTGCTTAAAAGGGCTCGGCAAAGTGGCGCACACCTGTAATCCCAGCAGCCCAGGAAGCTGAGGCAGGAGGATTGCAAGTTCAAAGCCAGCCTCAGCAACTTAGCAATACCCTAAGCAATTTAGCGAGAGAGACCCTGTCTCAAAATCAAAAGGGGTGGGGATGTGGCTCAGTGTTTAAGCATCCCTGGTACCAAATATATATATATTTGGTATGAAACATATAATAGGCCAGGATTGGGTAAACATGTTTCTTCTTAAGACTTTCCATTATGAATGCCGTAGATTGCATTAGGATGTTTCCAAGGAATTCTGCTAAGTGGAGCATCTTGGGAAGCTTGGATTCCAGAGACAACACTTTGGGAAAGCCTGGTTCAAGCATGACAAGGTCACGGTTGCCCCTCTTTGCTGTGCCCTAAGAGATGGGATGCCCTAGGATTGGCTGGTGAGGGACTACCGTGGTTTTGTAAGACGGGGAGTTCCACGGACTTCCCTCTCCGCTCCTCCTTTCCCCAGCTGATCACCTGCACAGGCCTCTGCTGTGACTGTTAGCTATGCATTCATGCGTCTAGTTCTTTATTTCCACCGGCACGTCTGCTCCACGGCAGGTGTGTACATGTGAAGGTTGCTTCCCTCTTACACCTGAGCCCAGCTCTCCGTGCCATGCTCATCAGATACTGGCCCAGTGCTTCTCCATGTGCCGGTGATGACAGGCAATCAAAGCCACCAAGATGGTGCCTGGAAGGGTCCGAGGAGGGGCAGAGAGGTCACGGAGTCTGGTGAGAAGAGACCCTAGGGATTCTCTTTTGTCATGGTCCTGCAGCTGCCTCCGTAAGTGACTGCTGACAGGTCACCAAATTCCTCTACTGCTGAGCCTGTCCCTCTAAAAAGGGAGGATTTGTACCAGATCCAGGATTCTTCTCGCTCTAGAGTTCTCTGACTTCAGACAATGGCCCTGAAGCTCCTTTTTTTTAATATTTACTTATTTTTTTTAGTTTTAGGTGGACACAATATCTTTATTTTACATTTATGTGGTGCTGAGGATCGAACCCAATGCCTCGTGCATGCCAGGCGAGCACTCTACCACTGAGCCACGATCCCAGCCCTGAAGCTCCTTTTTGATTCGTCTCTTTTTCACTTTCAGCTCTTAACCATCGATGACAACTTCTGTGGCCTGGATATGAATGCTCCCCTGGGAGTGTCCGAGATGGTGCGTGGCATCCCGGTCTTCACGGAGGACAGGGACCGCATGACTTCCGTCATTGCCTACGTCTACAAGAATCACTCTCTAGCCTTCGTGGGCACCAAGAGTGGCAAGCTGAAGAAGGTAGGAATGAGGTGCTGCTGGTGGATGATTGTGGAGACAGGCTGCTCCCACGGGATGATATTATCTCATGGTTTCTTACTCCTGTGCGCCTGATGGGCTATAAGACTGGTCTGACGTAGGGAGATAGGCTGCTGGAGGTCAGGATGATTGCCTTTTTTTCAATGCCTTTGTCCTTGGTTGTTGTGAGAACCAGGCTGTTGTGAGTGTGTGGTGTTGAGAGCCACAGCCGAAGGGGCCCCAGCAAACTTCCAGCTGCCGGCTGATGATTGGCTCACGGCCCCAGCAACATCTAGCTGATTGGCTCCTCTGCGGTGATGCTCATTGGGCTGTTTCCCTGCCCTTTCAGACCACGGAGCTGCTCATTGGGGGACTTTTTTGGCTCCGCCCACGTGACCCAGCCAATCGGCCTCAAGAGCAGGAGGATTGTGGGAGGTGGAGAGAAGCTTGTGTGGGAGAGAGAGGCTTGTGGAAAGCCGGTGGTGGCAGTTGAGGCTCTGAGGGTTTTTCCTGAGAGGCTGTTTTGTTTGGCGTGTGTGGTTCTAAAAATAAAGTTAGTTTCTTTTGACAAGTGGCTCCTGATTGTGCCCAGCCAGACTGCGGCAGTGTGGTGCACTCTTCCCTAGGAAAGGTTTGAGTGCACGCTTCCTCTATCATTCCAAACAGTGTACTCTGTTCAACTTGGGCTAGTGCCCTGCGGCAAGGGCTTTATTAGGTCTGGGTGGCTGGGGAAGTGGGCACGGGGAAGGAGGGGGCAGGGCAGGCCTGTTCCTCTTGCTCCAGCCCTTCTGGCTGGTGCATCCATCTGGAATCCATTTAGGGAACAGATGGAGGAACACGCAGACCTGTTAGAGTTGCTAATGGGGCTAAAAGCCAACTTGTGGGACAAGGAGATGTGGAGGCCATGCAACAATAGGAATTGCTTAAGGTGAGGTGGAAATATGGTCCAAGGACCTGGACTGTCCTCCTTGATCCCCAGAAGCTGGCTGGCTCTTAGGGTGTTGGATAATCTTGGCTCGTCAGCAGTATTGGGAGAGCCCACCCACCCAGGGATGCTCCTTGCTCAGGGTTTTCTATTTCACTGGATTGAAGCTGGCTCCACAGCATGTCTTCCTTGATGGGGTGAGAAGTCTTTCTAAGACTATACGCTCTCCATCTTATATTCTGTTGACTGATAGTTGTACTTCAGTCCTTTCCTATGACCTTTTGGTGATGGACTTGCCTTAGAATTCTCTGGATGTTGTGTGATTCGGGCTAAGTAAAGAGGCACTGTGTGATGGAGACTGAACCTTGATCCCTACTTTTCTCTTTGCTGTATTTCTGGGCATTGGCTCTGGATGGTCCAGGGGAAATGTTCTGTGCAGTATTTAGAAGGTTATTTCTGATATACCAGCCTACTATGCAACAAACACAGAAATCTTTCTTTCTGTTGAACTCGATACCTTTGTGGCACCATTTGTAGGGTCTGGAATGTGACAGTGTAGAAGGCAAGACGTGTGTGTGAGCGGGGATGTGCATGTGGAGCATCGAGTGGGAAATATCTGGAAAAGAAGGCAGTGTCCACTGCTGGAGGTTCATGGCACACTCTGTGAGGGTGACGAACAATGTCCTGCCTGTGTGGCACTGCCCAGGAGGACATAATTACCAGACTTTAGGGTCCTGTCATTTGTGTCAAAACCAAAAAACGATTTCCCCATTTGTCTACACATCTTCAAAAATCCTCTTTCATGGGTTCCTGCCTTTTCTGAGAACACAGTAAGTACAACTGAACTTTGTCTTGCTCATGGCTCCTTGTGATGCCGACTCGTGTATTGAACTGAGTTTTGTGGAGGCCTGGAGAAGATGCTGGAAGGCGTGGGGGTGATGTCCCCACGCAGCTCCTGGGTGTGACTGTTGCCTTCCTGGTCCTTCCTCCCATCACCTGCAGCTGCTGGGAAACGCTGGCGACTCCAGTGCCTTGGTCCCTCAGTCCGCAGCTTCCTGCTGGCAGTGGGCGGGCAGTCAGCCACCAGTCTTGCTGCCGTTGTGTCCCGTGAGCCTCCGCGGGCACCGAGGGGAGGAGCGCGAAAGCCACTGAGCAGGCAGGGCTCTGGGGGACACTTCCCTTGGTTGTTCAGGTGGCCGCTTTTGCTGTTATTTGATGGTTTCAGTTGGCTGCAGAAAGTGAACGCTAAATCCCAAAGGTGTTATTGCTGTAATTTGGATCTCAAATTTCCTCCAAAGGACCTGTGTTGAAGGCCTGGTCCCCGGGGGGTGTGCTTTGGAATGTGGTGCAACCTTGGGGAGGGGAGCCGATGGGAGGACCTGAGGTCTCTGGAGGCAAGTCTTCCTTGAAGGGGGTCGTGGGACCCTGGTGCCTGCCCTTTTCCTTTTGCTCCCTGGATCTGGTGTAAGCAGTTTTGCTCCACCACAACCTCTGGTCACCATGTACTGCCACCCTGCAGGCCCCAAACAATGGGGCCAACAGAACTTAAACTGGCACTTCCCAAACCATGAGTCAGAAATAAATGGTTAATCCATAAGTTATTTATCTCAGTGTTTTGTTATAGTGGTGGAAAGCTGACTGGTTCTCTTACCATCCCATCCAGCGTCCCTTGACCGTCTTGCCTGCTCCCATGGGGAATAGGCACTATTGAGAATAAATAAATAGGCAACACACTATGGGGGTCTTGGCCCTTCCCTGCAGTGAGCCCAGTCTCAGTGCAATGGAAAAAGTGACATCCTCCATTGACCTCAAAGTCCTATCTGCCAAATTTCCTATCGGCAGCCAGAGGATCATGCAACTCACTGGCAAGACAGAATGAAACCTGGATGAGGATTTATTTATTGTCGTTGTCTGACCTGGCTGGAATACGGTGTCAGTGAAATGAACATAGAAAGTTCAGTGCACATAACCGGCAATCATTGAGGGGGAAAAAACACATGTTTTCAAGTCATGGTTGCACTGTAAACCTGAGAGAGTCACCTTGTAGATGCATGCTGTTGGTCCGAGGGTGGATTGAGGCAGCGGGCAGCTGGCAATGTCCCTTGTCCCTTCCCAGAGAGCTCATGCACAGCACATCCTCAGGAGTGGGGAGGAGGACAGCCCAGGAGTATGGGTGAACACTTAGAAACAACCCTCAGAGACTGGCAGGGGCAGGTGGCAGGGCCAAGTCACCCAGGGCTGGCATTTCCCATCTTTTCCCTTGGTGGGTTTACATAGTTCTCTTTCAGCCACTTGGGACATTATATTTAATTTCCAGAGCATTGGTGGGGCCGCTGAGGCATAAAATTTGAAAGCCAAGAGGAGAAGGTTCGTGTGGGGGGACCGAGCCGTCGTTCCCCTGGGAAGAGGCGCCATCACGGGGCCACACTTTCTGCTCCGTGGGCTCAGACTGGCAGCCTCTTAATGGTTCTGCTCAAGCCCAGCAACTGCTTCTGCCAGCTCAGCACAGCTGGCCCAGGGGACAGTCGGAGTGGGAAAGGAAGGCTGGGCCACGGTGCCTGTTGTTTGAAATAATAAAAAGCAAAAGTGGCCCGTTTATTTATTTTTCCTAAACAATAAAATGTTCCACCGCCCCAGCTCTCTGGGTGCCCCACCCCTTTCCTTGTGATATCTGACTTGCTTTCCCCCTGAGCTTAACACGCCCATAGCCACCCTTTGGGCCAAGGCCCAGCCATGACAAACTTGGGGCTGCGGGAGGATTTTGCAGCAAGTTTTGTGAGCGACCGAGATCAGGGGGTGAGAATAATGGAAATCATACGGTAGCCGTAATTACAGAGTTGGTGTCCCTGAGCCCTGTAATAATCTCCTGTGTGCATCGAGGGCCTTTCAGAGTTCTTTGCAGCATGACAAGGGACTCAAAGTGGGCAGGGTGGGCAGAAAGGAGGCTGGGGGTTTACTGAGAATAAGGAAGTTTGGCTCTGGGTTTTTAGGGACCCAGGGGCTAGACTGTAGCTATCCATAGGCTGCCCTCAAAATTACTGACTTTTCATTGTGTTTGAAAGGTGTGAGTCCCAGTCATTTGCAACCTTGCCTTTGATGACCGTAATTTCACTCCTCAAGTGCACACATCACATGAGGCAAGGGGAAAGGAGGTGAGGAAAGTGCCAATTTGGATGTCTTTGATGTTTTCTGATGTGAGTGTATGTGTTATAGACAGCATTGGCAGCCTTTTCCCACAGTGAGCGTTAAAGGTGTGTGCTCTTAAGAAATACAGCACGGAAACGTTACACTCATTAGGAGGTACCTAGGAACTTAGAAATAATCCACAGACTATTAAAATTTCAGCCACAGGTGAAAATCATAAGGGAAACACCATCTTGACTTGCCTTGGGGTGACCACCCAAATCTGAAAGCCTTTGACCCAAGTTGGGGTAATCAGGTCAGTGTGCTCTCAGAAAGACAAGATTCCTTTGCTTAAATATTTCTGCAGAAATCCTCGCTGCATCTTGCTTCCTCTCGCTAAGTGATCATATTTTATGGCGGCTGCTCAGCAGTGAATTACTGCCTGAAGTTAGCGGGAGAGACTAACGTTCATTGTGAACCAAAACATCATAAACTTCCACTTGAGGTGTGATTGCTTCTTTAGTTTTGTGATTGCGTCTTTCCCGGATGTTTTTGCTGGGCTGAACGGCTCGTGCTTACAGGGTGGAGCTCTGGATCTGGTTAGGCAGAGCTCTGGTGCTCTTGCTGTAAGCATGCATGCTTCCGGCCAGACCAGCCTCTCTGGCTGAGAACTGCATGTGCGTCCACCTGCAGAGTCAATAGCAGCATAAAACACAAAAAAATCACTTTTATTGGCAATTGTCATGCAGATTAATTTAATTATCCTAATTTTTTACCCCTTGAATGTGTTTTAAAATCGATTTGCGCGTGTTCCCTAGGCTCTCTGAGTCCAGGAGGGAAATTAGCCAGAAGCAGAGTTGTGCAGACAGACAGCTTGGAGCTGGTGTCCTTCTCCTCTGTGTGCGTGTTTTCAGTCCTTGAGTCTCAAAGCAATAGCAGACCCGACGTTCCAGCC